AAAAAGTATTTATAAATAAAGATATTTAGATAATGAGTTGACCTTCTGAATATCTCATGTTGCGGTTTGTGATTCACTTCAAACAATAGACTTCGTTTCTTCATTTAAATATCTAGGAGTAACAATCACTACAAAAATGGGATGGGGAAAATGCGTTGATGACAAACTTAAAAAGATTAGAAAAACATATAATGCAATGAAAATATTATTTTATAAAATACCAAAAAAGGAAATTTCTATTCGACGTAGAATATTTCTCGCTTTTTCTCTCCCCCACTTTATCTGGCTTTTCTCTACATGGTTCATTTTTACTGAGAAGCAGCAACAACTGATTAACTCCACCTATCTATCAGGAGTAAAAATTGTATATAGGCTTTACGGATGGAATGATATCTCTACGCAAATACTTAGTCAAGAAAAAACACTGTATGATTAAAGAGAGCGAGACATAGTAGAAACGATTGGTTATTATTTGAAGTGAATCACAAACCGCAACATGAGATATTCAGAAGGTCAACTCATTATCTAAATATCTTTATTTATAAATACTTTTTGCTCCCATCTTAATTTTTATTTGTTGTAAAAAAAAAAAATCTGAAGCGAAATAATTATTTATAAATAGATGTCACTATTTATCTACTTATGATACTTTTCTAATGCGTGTTAAATAAACCTTTCTTCCTTTCTGTCATTGAAAGTATTACTTTTCTTATCTATTTGTATATGTTTCTATTGATTGACTTGAATCCTTATTCTTTCTATCTTTCCATTTCTTATTCTTCTCTTTTTATAAATGTGAACCAGATTACGGCATAATAAATTATAATGTTAAAAAAGAATTACAGAAAGAATGTAAATGATTTGTTTCAATAGTAAAATTACTATCATAATATTACGATATTTCAAAATAATCTTTAAGCCTTTTATGCGTCACTCAGTGACCCTAAAAAGGAAAAAAAATCATTTAATTAAATGGTTAACTTTGAAATTTTCATACGAAGAATTTCATGTTTTTAGTTATTTCAAAAGCATCAAAATCATTGGATTCGTTTCATTATGTATTTTGACATCGTTTTCATTACGTGACTTTCACTATTTCCAAAAATTAAAGTCATTACATTAGTTCTGTTTTTTCTACATCATATTCATGACATAATTCTCATAGTTTTGAGAAACTAAAATCATCGCATTAATTTTACTACTTTTGTAATATTTTTATTCCATCATTTTGATTATTTGACAAAACGAAAATCTTTGCATTAGTTTCATTATTGATGTATTCTTTTCATGGCATGATATTTATAATTTCGAAAGAACTGGAGTTATTGCATTGCTTGGATTACTTTCACACCATTTTCATTGGATGCTTTTGATTATTTTGAAAAAAAGGAATCATTCCATTATACTTTTGTATCATTTTCGTTACATGATTTCGATTATTTTGCAAAATATAGGTCAGTATATTAATTTCATTACACTTACATTTGGAACACTGAATTTTAATCGTATTTCAAATGATTAAAAAGTTTTAAAGCTTTTTCAAAAGAAAAAGAATTTTAATGAATGATTTTGGGATGAAAAACATCATGTATCACGATTTTGTTTTTAAAAATAAATGATGATAATGATTAATTTGTATCTTATCTGCATATTTTTCTTTACACATACCACTTTCTTAATAAATGGAATATGTTAGGATAGATACTATGTCGTGCCCTGGTTTTACTTAAGTTTGTGAAGTATTTTTAATGTGATATGTACTTTACCACTTGATATGATGGTAAAATAAACTTTTGAAAAGTTCATCGCAGAACTCCTCGAAGGCAACCGCCCCAGACTTGTATAAAAGTTTCGGTACAATTGGCTCACTCAGGTGAATAGTTAATATAAGTGAAACAAAAGTTAGTTTCTTTTTTATCCTTTTCATGGCACGATTTTCGTGAACTCTGAATGAATTCCATCACATGATTTTCATGAAATAAAATTCTAATCTTCATCAATGAATTTTAACAACACCCAAAAATAATGTCCGTTTCATCGTCGAAAATGACAGTTTTTTCATTTCGTAGAATAATTTTCCTCTGGAAAAACTTTCATTAGAATGAAGAAAATTACATTTTTTTTTGTCATTTTTCACTCACTTGCGACATGTCAGTGACTCATTGAATAGTAAGTCACAATAGTTATCAGAAAAAATGTTTTCCTCAATTTCAAAAGATTGAACGTTTAATTGTGTTTAGGAATGCAAAGTGCTGAAAGGTGCTAAATCTCGCTGACAAATACAAATTAACGAGTTAATGATTAATGGAGTAAAGCTACCAAAGAAACAATGAAAATGTACATTTTAACTTGAGTTTTTGCGTTTTGACTTACCCAGAATTTTGAAGACGGTAAAACTGGTAAAAGCTGATGAAAACTTGTAAATTTTAAAGAAACTACTTGTTTTAAGGAACTCATATTCTCTTAATACATTTAATTGCGTTTCTCTGGAGCTGTCTGATTGTAAAAGGACTCAATTACGTTAGAAAATAGTGAATTGGACGAATTCGTGGAACTATATCATTTTATTTTACACTAAACAATACAACTTAATTGCAACTCGACTTGAAAAAGTGAGCGACTAAAATATAATTTTTTTCTGGTTACATTTGTCTGACCTCGTATATCAGATAATTTTCTTAGTCTGAAAGCCCAAAATTGATCATCTTGTACGACAAAACTAATTTTCATACTTTCTAAGAATTTTATCAATTTTTGTTTTACAGTTTTGTGTTTCTCAAATTAATGTCCTGCACAATTGCACACTAGTGATATATTTGGATGATTTTTCGAAAACATAGTGACAAGAAGGTTTTTAAGAGTTTATTCCAACTTATTTTAGTTATCGAATTTTTCGTCGAAAACAACACAGGTGGCGTTCATGACGTAAAGTATCAATACGAGTTTTTCACTTTCTCACGTACTATGGTCAAAATGAAACTGTAAAATAAGGTTCATGAATATCTCCACATTGCTTCCATGGAAGTAAGTATGGTTTTGTTGATGATGATTAAGTTTGCGTCTTCCACTTTTTGTGTTATTATTTTCCGCAGAAAACTCCAACATTTCATTACATAGTTAAGTATATAAGAGCTTGTCACATAGCTGAATAATAGTGACTGCAAGGTCTACAGTACATCTTCTTCTTTATTGCTTCTAACAGATAAGAGAATAGCCGTTAAATTTACGACGATTATGTATATCAGAGACTAGCAAAAGATTATCTAATAATGAGTCAAATGTCAATTTTAAAATTGATAAAACTTTGCGATGATGCTATTCTGTAATACTTGACATACACTAATCAATCACTTAATGAATACAAATCAACAGAAATTGAAGAGCTTAACACGAATGTATACATTTTCTTGAATTCATTAAGCAACTTTCACCAAATTAAACATTCACCAAATTCAAATTGTTTGGTGTGTTTGGTTGTGGTATATGCTTACATAAAATAATATAATAACAAACGAGCGGCATACATACAACTGACTACTTTTGTTCTCAACTTTGTTAGACACTAAAATATAGTTTTAAAATACGTCTTTCAGTTTGTTCTATACAAAAAACCTTTAAGTATGACGTTCAAAAATTGGAAATATCCATAGTCTATTTTTACCTGTAGTTTTGTTGAACTTTCTATTATATTCTGATTATTTGTTTCTTTTTTCAAATAATTGAAGTAAAAGTATTGCCAATGTCATAGACATATGAAGCATGACAATCTCTATCTGTCGATGTAAACTATTTTACTTGTCACACAGGATTTGATCAGCACGAGCTTAGACAAAGCCTAAATGTTACCAGAAAAAAATTCACATGATATAATCAAGTGGCTGTTCATGGTTTACATGTTACAGGAATAAAAATATATCATATGAATTATTAGATTCGTTAGTTATGTAAAGCAGCAATGTCTGCATTCCATAAGCTCAATATTAAACTTGAGGATCATCTGTAAGTGCCGCGAAAACTGTGAATAAATGTGACGGTTCTTATTTACGGTAGATGAAACTTTAAATCTTGCTATAAACTCATCGGATAGCTGTGTTTTTTCAATATACATAGAAACACAAATTGAATTTATCAGTTTCTTTTTTTGTCTTTTGTTCTAAACGATGCATTTAATTTTGCGATTCAAGCACAATTTCATACTTGTTTCTTTTCCAGGAATTTCTTCTTAAAATAAACAATAACAATCGTGAGCAATGTCAATAAGTGTACTAAACTGTTAAGCAACAGTTCTCTTTTTTTAACTTATTAGGTTTTTACTCATTTCATACAATCTTAATGATAATGAAAGTACTCCCATAAGCATTGAAGTTCTAGACAATACTACTAGAAATTGTCTTTCGTCTGAAGTAAGCCATAAATATTAATTGTTAAGTTCACGGAGTACATACTCTTGATTATTTCAAAAGAGGCAACAGATAAAAAACGGATAATTATTGTCATAAATTTAAGAATCTATCGAATAAATATC